AGATATTAAAGCTGCTACATTCAGGTATTTGGGGACCGTTCTCAAGACGTGTTCATTTTCTGCAGATGCTCCAGCTGAGGCACATAACTCGGGAGGGTTTAGTTAAGGCTCCAGCTGAATGATTTCCCAACTCAGCTTGCAGTCTGACAACAGGCTGTGCCATCCAGGCAGTCAGACTGGAGGAGGACGTGTTGGTGGATCCTTCTGAGAGTGTTTACATGTCAAACCAGCCTTCAGGTCAAAAAGGCAACAAAGTAGACTTGATTTCACAAGAAAAAATAAAATAAAAAATAAAATTAAATTAAATTAAAAAATCCCAAACTGAAAAACCCTCCCCATATTCCAAAGCTTCCAAAATGAGCAACCTGTTTGCATTCATGCAAATATCTTTTCCTTCGAAGGAAATTTATGGCTATTGTTGCCATCACCATGAAAAATGTGAAAACATGGCACTTCAGTGAATGGCAGCATCACTCAGGGACTGAACACACTGAGCCCTCAAGAAGTTCCTCCTGACTGAAGGAATCCAGCAGCTGCCATGTCTTTACTTCCTTTTCCGGCTCTCTCAGCTCCAGCCTGACAGACACCAGGCAGAGATGTTTGTAAAGTGAGGGAGCGACGACTCCTCACATTAAGATCACATTAAGAATTTTTTAAACCCAGTTATTTTTACATGTATAAAGTCCAGACTTCAATAGTGAAGTGAAAGCTAAGTAGCACCAACATCTAAGTCTGGATAAGTATTGGTCTAAAAACAAAGTCTGAGGAAATCATAATTGTGACACAGTAGGACATTGATCTGTTCTGAGGAAGCCACCAATTAGAGGGATGGAGCACCTCTCCTAAGAGGAAAGGTTGAGACAATTGGAATTGCTCAAACTGGAAAAGAGAAGGGTTTTTGGTGACCTAATTGTGGCCTTCAAGTACCAGAAACTAAAATAGAGTAGGCTTAGTAGGAAGAAATTCATCCCTGTGAGGGTGGTGAGGCCCTGGTAGAGGTTGTCCAGAGAAGACCTATCCCTGGAAGTGCCCAAGGCCAGGTTGGATGGGGCTTGGAGCAACCTGGGATAGTGGAAGGTGTCCCTGCCCATGGCAGGGGGGTTGGAAGTGGTTGATCTTTAAGGTCCCTTCCAACCCAAATTGTCCTGTGATTCCATGGTTCTTTCAGCCAGAGAGATTTGCTATGCAAAGATATATTTGTGTATATTAATTCTGGACACAGAGGTAGAGAACTGGTGAATTCCTTCCTGTGTTGCTGCTCTTGCAATATTAAAACAGGTGGCCACTAGGTGAGCTTGGGATCTTTGCCCATTTTTGGGAGTTGGGAAGGTTACAGACACACCAAGCTTGGTTGCAAAACTGCTCAAAAGAGTTAGAAATGTGAGGCCTTTAAAAGTGTAAAATGTTTTCAGAACAATGTGGGTCTTTCCTTGTGCCTTTGTGAAATTCAGCTGTAAACAGTGATAGAGGTGGTGGAATTGAATTAGAGCAGTTTAGATAAGGGATGTAGGTTTTGAACGTTATTCTGGCATAACTATTAAGGCTCCATACACAGGTAGCATGGAAAAACAGCTTTTCTAAAACACAGATCATTTCCTTTTGCCATGGGCAAAAAAAAAAGAGCACTAACTCCTATTCAGGTCAACTTTATTCTCAGTTACAAGATAAACAGAAGCTTACAAATTGGACAAACATGCACTTGCTTTCATCAGGTTCCAATACAAACATTGGCAGCTGTGCTGTTGACACTTTCTTCAGAGGAAGTGAGGATTTAAGGATTCTCCTCTCCCTAAGACCAGTCACAAAACTGATTCCATGGAAGTTTGCATACATATCCCAGTGCCACAAATCAAAGTAGAAGCTCTCACATATAAAATAGAGATGTTCAGTGTAAAATACTGGGAATGTTTCAGACTGTTGGGAGCTCACAGTTCACTTGAGTGGCCATCTATGAGCATGGAAAGGAGTTATTGTTGCTGTTGCAATAACCTCCAACATAATTTACTTCTCACAGTGCCAATCCTTGAATCCTTGGACGCATTGACTTCAGAATCCTTCTGCTGCCATCACAATAAAATTTAGTGGAGATGAACCAACCTCTTCTGGCCATCTGGAGATCTTGCCATTTGTACATCAGATCCCCAAAGCTGTCAATGAGGCACACCAGAACCTCCTGGAATATTTATGCCCTGCTGTTTTGTCCTTCCAGTTGATACTGGGGTGGTTGGAATCCCCCATGAGGACCAGAGGTGAGGCTGTTCCTGTCTGTCTCTAGAGGGCTTCATCCACTTTGCCTGTCCTCCTTTTATTCCTGACCCATAAACTTTCCATCAGCTTCTCATCCATCCCCAGTCAGCATCCCATGCACTCCAGCTGCTCTCTCTATAAATAGCAACACTTCCTCCTCATTTTCCTACCCTGCCCATCCTAACAGAGCTCACATCCCTCCAAGGCAACACTTCCACCACATCTCCATGGTCCCAACAAAACCAGCCCTGCAGCTTCACACAGATCTCTAACGCCTCACGTTTAGTCCCGATCCTTTGTGTTTTTAGCAGTGCTCAGCTCCTGCAGAGGATTTGGGATATTTGTCCATGACGGTGGTGCCTGGTACGCACTTCCCTGCTCACGTCCAGGTCTGAAGGTGACCCTGCTCACACCTCATTTTGGTGACTTTGGGAGCCCTTCCTGCCACACCACCCCATGTCCATTTTAAACAATCCTGTCCTCTGTTCCCACGGGGCTGCTGTGGATTCCTCACCTCCCTCCCCCACCATTACTAAATGTCTCCTTATGTGATGGATCCCAGCAGTCTGCAAATCCACAAACAGGGTCCCACTGAGCCCCAAACACCCACCAACACCATTTCCACAGCCAATTATTGTTTTCTCCTATTGGTGTCCTCCTCCTTGCCCTCTTTCCCCTCAGCCCACGTGATGAAGCTGCACTGGGATGCCTTTGCCGAGAGCTCCTGCAGGATTGTGTTGGGAAGACTCTGCTGATTCCCAGCTAACCCAGGCCATTGGCTTGTTTTGGTTTCAAAGGCTTGGGCTCACTGATGTGGTAATGCATAATTAAATATTTGCATGAAAGAGACGCCACGACCAGGAACCTGGGCTCAGAGTTTGCTTGCAGAAGACGTAAAATAACAGAGATATCCTCTCCCAAGTCTGCATTTTATTTCTTCTCTGCATGACAGAAATTGCTCTGTCCCCTAAGGAGTGTTACCAAAGTGTTCATTAAGGCACAGACCAGACAAACTCTCCACACTTCTCCCCAGCTCAGGTGAACCAAAGAGGGATTTTCTCTGGGAACATTCTTCTGAGGGACTCATCTCATATTCCCTGTTTTTGTATTTTTCCCGTGGTTCCTATACAAGCACACACAGAGATTTCATTCCACACATGTCAGAGGAATGGACTAAAAAAATAAAATAAAACAAGTGCCAGGAGAGCTGTCTCTTGTCATCATGGAATTTTCATTGTGGGGGTTTCAACATCTCTTGCCTCCTGATTCTTAATCTCCCTTACTTTTGTGTAATTTGAATGTCAAAAGATAAACAGTGAGACCCTTCAGCAATTGGTTGGGAAGATACCTCAATTGCCTGTTAGAATTAAAAGATATTCCTTTAAAAAACTGTTAAAAATATGCTGGAGTGTAAAGGAAGAAGGACAACAACAAAAAAAGCCCCACAAAACCTTATTTTTGGCTCAAAGACAAAATGTCCTACTTAGTCTAACAGCTTCTCACAGGGAAGTTAGTACTGGGATGGCTTTTGTGCATGGGTAAAGTCTTAAAATAATAAATATTGCCTCAAGAAAAGGAGTTGTGAGGATCTTGAAGCTAGCTGATGTATGTTGTCATGTCCCTCAAGGCATTAGCATCTGATGTGCTTTTAGAGATGTTTTTTTTTTTTGCTGCCCCTGTGAACATGAATGGTGTTTCTCAGAGGTGTAGATAATTCATTTCAGTGTAAAAGGAAACATCTTATGGTAATGGAAATTTGCAGAGATATGAACTCGGTAAAGAAATCCAGAAAAGCAGAGAAGAGTTTCTGCTTTTAAAATCTGCATATGGCTGTCTTAGGACTCCTCCTGCTCCCAGGAGCACCAGTGCAAACTCCATCTGAGCCTTCAGGTGAGAAATATCCCCACAAATCCTGCTGCTCTGGAGTTTAGGTCCCTCAACCAGCCCTTAGGACTATTAGCTCCCAAATTTAGAAGTGGGAAGTTGTCTCAGAAGTACCACCTGTTATTATTGTGCACACAAAAACAAGAGAGAGAGAAAAAATCTGATTTTCCTTCACATCATCAGAAAAGAGCAGTGACAAAGGTCAGAGAGGGCTGATCTAAAGTTTATAATCCTGCTGTTCACAAGACCTAGTGTCTCTCAGCCATGGGCTGCTCCAAAAGATAGGGTTAGGAGTTATTCTCTTTTCCCAGTTTTCTCCATCCAGTTTTTTCCTAGTTATTCATAGCTGGAGCACAAGAGATCAACTAATGGGCAGGAACGTCAGACTGTATATGAGCACATCTTGATGTCTGGCTTCTGTAAATTTAATTAGATACACCCTGCTATGTGGAATCAAAATTCTATTTGGAAACAAAAAGCTGCTTAATTTTCTCTAATTTCATCAATAATCATAATAATAATTCCCACTACTATTGTTTTTTAATTACAGTTCCAAGTAGAAAGGAAAAATTGGATCCCTTTCCAGTTAATGTTATATATTCTACAGCTTCCTTTTTACAGTCAAAAGGGAATGGATTCATCTCCCTCTGAATTCTATTTTATGCTAAATATACCAGCAAACTGTCCATAACATAGGAACCTTATTGCACAGGGCAGCTTGTCAGATCCAAACAGCTCTGGATGTACAAAATGCTCAGAACACAGGGAAGATAATCTCAGCACCAACAGACGGCTGCTCATGAGGGACAAGATCACTTTGGGATGGTGGAAGAGAGCAATAAAGGCCATAATTTTCATGGGACACCTACCTATTGTGTCTCCTTGCTCGTGCACCATGGAGGCCAGGTCTTTGATGATCTGGTTCACATCCAACATGTCGCTCTGAAAAGACAGAAATCCTAACATTAACGAGGAATGGGGAATATCCAAGTAGGAAAGGCACGTTCCACAGACCAGCCTGGCAGAAGAAAAACACAAACCCAGAAATCTTCATTGGTGTAAAAGGGAAAGTTATAATGCTCCAGCAGTAAAAAATTCCCTCAGAGCCGTGGTTTGCTGGATCTAAGTCAGCCAGCTGACTCAAGCCTTGTGAGGGGAACAATGGAATGATCAGATTTTATGGTTGCTTTTCAGAATTGTGGAGGACTAAGGAAAAACAACAATAAAAACAACAGCGGCAAACCCTTTCTAAAAAAGTTATTGGTGACGCAGGCCATTCATCCCAGACTGTTCTCTCCTACACAGAAAAAGGCCATCTCTCAGCACAGAATCATCTGATGCTATTCATAAACTGGTGGAGAGACAATTGAAAACTCCCTGAATTTCAAATTACCTTATTGGTAGGGCAATAAGGAAAGAGCTGTTTGATGAACAGAATCATTTATATGTTTTCACATAGTAAAAAAAAGAAAAAAAGAAGTAACTACATTCAGCTCTGAAATTTTCTCTGTGAAAACACAGCAAATTACCCATGAGTTTGTTTCCTTCGTTTCTGAGCACTTACAGTATAAAAGAGCAATGTGAGCATATGTCGACATCGTATGACACTGTGCCTTGTAAAAAGAATTAATTTAGCAATAATAGACATAATAATATAGACACTGCTAAATGCACTACCAGTAAGGCAGCATTACCAGAGCAGAAAAAAAAGACACCAAAAAAGGATGTATCTTGGTTTTTTTTTTCATCTGTACAAGTCAGAGAATCACAGAAACACTGAAATGGGCAGGAACCTCTGGAAATTATTTAGCCCAACAGCCTTTCTCAGAGCAGGAAACTAAAGCAGGGTGTTCAGGGCATGGATTTGTCTGCCTCCAAGGATGGAGATGCCACAGATCTGGAAGATCTCTTTGCCTGGCAAACTATAAGTCCATGGAATCCTGTGAGTGTTTGACCATGGCTGGATGACAGGCACCCACCAAATCTGCTTTATCACTCCCCTCCCTAAGTAGACAGGGGACTGGAAATATCATGAAGGGTTCATAAGCTGAGAGAAGGACCAGGAGACTTCACCCTCCAAATATCATCACAGGCAAAACAGACAGATTTTAATTGAATTTATTTCTAAAAGAATCAGAGCAGGATAATGAGAAGTTTTGGAACTGTCTGGACACAATCCTGTGCCTGTGCTCTGGGATGGCTGGAGCAGGGAAATGGGACCAGGTGACCCCACTGTGGTCCCTTCCAGCCTGGCCACTCTGGGATTCTATTTCCATCCCAAAAGATGCAATTGCCTCCACCACGTTTTTTAAAGAACTCCATTTCCCTACTAGAAAATTTAGGAAAATGGTGCAAAATGAATCCATGTCCTCCCCTTGAAGTTTGCTATGAGAATATAACTGGCACAACACTTCAACACGTAATGAAATAGAACTGCATCAATTTAAAATGAGGTCTGGGAGTCCCACTGTGAGTGCTAGAATAGACCAAATTGTTGAATAACTGAAGATGTAGGAAAAGTGAAAGATTGAAAAAGCTGTGAGAAATCATAATAAAGCAAAAAAAAACACTGCCCCAGCCAAGGACCGGGTAATGCACCACAAAATGCACTTCATTCCTTCACTCGTCAAGCACAATGAAGCTTTAATTATGGATGGTATTAATTACTAACTTTTAAATACTGCAGAATATTTTGGAAAACAATGAAGTTTAAGTAATTTGAGATTGTATTTGAGCACTGTGATAGTAAATCATTACCAAGAAATAAGGAGAAATTAGGGGTGATTTTTTTTGTGTAGGGAAGTTTTCTGAGCTTTTTGTAAAAATATTTCAAGGGAGAAAGTTAAAGTTCAGCAAAATGTGAAGAACTGAGAATTAACTTTAATGTCTTGCTCTGCTCTTGTTTAACTGATTTTCAGAAGATGGTTAAGGAAAATATAAACAACAACAACAACAAAATAATAATACTAAAAAAGCCCAGAATGCAGATTTGTCTCTCTTGGCTAAATTGTCACTGATGTAATTTTTTATGTTTGTTCCTTGCAATATTAGGACAATCTTTTCTACAGTTAAATCTGCTTTACTTTGTTATGCTTCTTTTCCAGAACTTTAAGTGAAGGTGGCTTAAAACTCATGAATATGTTTCTGCACGTACATTTGGTTAGACATAGTTCACTGCAATATATTGAATTACACACACCCCCAGCCACCCCAAGCATTTCCACTGGAATAAAAGAGATGATACACTGACTTCTTAGAGGACCCTTCCCAGGTAATTTAGCCATGAGGAGCTGGGCTGTCTATGTCCTGATCCCCAGATATTCCGTGAGGGATGGGAGAACGAGAAGGAAAATTCAACGTTGTGCGCGAACGGTGCTGGTTCAGCTTTGCCATTTGTATTCAGGTATATGAAACCAACCATCTGCAGCTGCAGAGTATAGATCCTTTCCATAATGTTGCAATAACACTTAAAATTACTGTTTAGCAAATATGCATCAGTGAGAGCCAGCGCTGAGCTGTGAGGAAGGAAAAAGCGCGACTACTGCACTTCAGGAAAAACAAACAGGGGTGAGTTATAAAGCACAGAGCACAAAAGCAATCTGACCCGAAGCCAGAAATCTGTTGAATAATTTAACCTGGCAAGGTGAAGTTTCAAAGTCCTTGATATATGTAAGGAAAACAGAGGAAGAAATAGAAGAAAGAAAAATACCCAGAAATAAAGACCTTCCATAGTGGAATATCCCTTGGAGCTACTCTCCTGCTCCTTCTTGCCAGGTCTGCTCCATCCCCAAGTACCTCTGAACTTTCCAGGTGCCAGAGTTTGTTAGGAAAATCAGATTGCCTTTGGTTTCCCATGCTTGCACACACTTTGCAGAATTCACAATGAAATACAGCTCCTCCTAAATCTCTGACTCCACAGAACCCAGGAGTGCAGCAGACACCACTATTCCCAAAATTCTGTTTCCCTGACAGTTAACGATGCTGGGGCTCCCTGGGTTTTAATTAACACCAGCCTTTCCTGTCTGGCAGCAATTCATTCTGCATATTCTGCAGCAAGAGGGAGACAGGTTTAAACTGTTCTGTATAAATCCTCTTTTCTTTTCTTTTTTTTTCCCCCCAAAAAAGGAGAAATCCATTCAGATTAGTAGACAGGATTTAATATCACCCATTCTGGAACAAAAAGAATTAAACTAGTCAACAATAAAATGAAATGGCAGTACCTAAAGATGACCAAAAATGCAGAGAAGTGATAGATGAGAAAACCAGAGACGCAAAAGAATTTGAGGCCATTAAGTTCCAGGGGATTAACTCCCACTAGGGGAAATTAGTTTGGGAAGTTTTTAACAGAAAGTACGAGGTTAAAATGACAGGACTATTTGAGTCACTTAACCTGACTCAATAAATGAATAATGTCACTGCACAGTGCTGAGATTTTGGGACAAAAATTGAATTTCCAAGTCTGAGACAAAAGTGGTTGGAAATATGATTTTTGCAGATAAACCAGAAATTTAAATTTCCCAATTTTTTCTTTAACAAGATAAAGATTTCAACACTTTTGAAATTAATTTGTGAGCAAGTCAGGTTATAAAATCCAGACATTGTCACCAATGTGGGAACAAGAAAACCCACATTTCCCCACAGAATGAACATTACTGAAGCATTTGCAAGACAGAAAATAAGCAAACCTCTTTTCTCTTCCACTCTCATGCTTTGTAGGGTGAAGATTTATTCACACTGAAAGCTTCCAACATATCCCTGACCTTAATGATATCCTAAAGACATTGTTGTATTCCTGCCATGGGAAGAGTGTGAAATAAACTGGAGAAGGGAACATGTTCTCCTCAGAAGGACACAACAAATCTGTGTAGTCAATAATTCCTCCCTCACATGGAGCCAGATCCCAGCCTCCTCTATCAGTGTCAGCTCAGGTCCTCAAGGGAAGAGTCACACTCATTTCTAGGAATGTTTGACTTAGGTTTGTATAAAAATGGGATCAAAACTATCAGTGGTCTATCCTATTTAGCACGTGTGCTTTTGTGTTTACTCACAAACCAGCCATCCATTTTTTTAGAGGACTATAAATTAGCATTTAAATTAATTGCTGCCTCAATATTCAGGAGCTGCTGAGTTTTTACAAGCTAGGTCACATTCTGACCCGTCATCTACACTGCAGCAAGCAGCCAGGAGAGCTATAAAATAAACCTCAAGGAGATCCTGAAAGATATCCTGTAAGGCCCATGTGTGCATTTCTGCATACAGAAGCACTCCAAAACTCATTAAACTAAAACAAACCCCTTGTGCTCGTTACCTTTGGGGGGAAAAAGTAAAGAAACAAGAAAAAAAAAAAAAAATTAACCAGCAGCCCTTTTATAGTGTCTGTGATGTTTTACCAAAGAGATGATGAGATGTTCCTTGTGTGTGGTCGTGTCTGCAACAGCTGTGGGGCATCTCCCACCCTGTGGCCCACCATGTGTGGACATGGGAAGACAAATCAGAGCATGGTGTTTGTCTGCCCTTATTCCTTTCTGAGAGACAGGGTGAGGAAAGGAAAAGGAAAAAAAATAATATAAAACGTGAGCAAGCTTCTGATGCAAGATAGGCAGAAACTAAATCTTGCTGCAACAGCCTTTCAACAAATATTTTTCTCTTGTCTATGGCTGGGGAGAAAAAAATGACATTCAATAAATCAACCTGATTCAGCCTAAGCAACAACAGACCAGCAGAAAATTGTTTTGAGGGCAGAAGCCATCCAGAACAGCAATTACAGACTGAGTTAGGTCTCCTCTGGGACTCAACAAGAGCCAGAGTGTGGAGTTTCTCTCTCTCCCTCTCTTGCCTGTGCACATTTCCTCTCTCTTTTGCTGTCTTAGAGGTCTGTGTCATCTCAGGGAGTGTAGGACTGTGCTGCATAATTAAAGTAGTCATGTCGAGCTTTGGGATGC